GCAACAGCGTTACGGGCCAGATTCGGCGATCTAAGGAGACTTCATGATGATGTGCTACAGGTAGAGAAATGCCTCATTGCCTCAAAAGATCCAGGATACCCACTCTACGTGGTTAACGTTCCGCGGAAAATGTCGTACGTCGATAGCTTCCCTGCGGATAAGTTCTTCCTCCGATTCGATTACATATTCGACATGTTTCACGTGAAGAAGCTGGATTTTACGTTTGTCCACCTTTATGCCTTGCACATGAACTACATCATTGGGGTTGAGCAGATACGTCATATCTGTGTCACTGACCCGTACTACATGCACGAGAGCTTCTTGGGAGTCTGTGTAGAGCAGCCTGAATACGCGAGGGATTACATCATCAGTTTCATGCTCGCCAATAAGGACAAGGAGGCGATTCTCGTGCCTTATCATCCCGTGTAAGTCATCCGCGCTGCTATCCTTCCTTCGATTTCAATAATTCATTTGCACGGTGAAGGCTAATTAATTTGAGGTGTACTTATTTTGCGCAGCGGCGGGCGCGCCGTCCTCATCATCCTCTACCCCCGATTCTCCCATGCTCTTTACTTGGACTCATCGAAGAACATTCACAAAAAGGATTACACCCACATCAAAGATGTTCTCGACAGTGCTATGTTTTACTACCAAGCAAGGGGTGGAGAGGTTAGGGACAAGAAGAGAAGGGGCGGCAGGGCCGCCTTCAGCCATAAGACCGACTTCTGCTGCATCCAACAACCGAACGATTCTCTTAATGGTGGATTCTATGTCCTACACCACATGCTGGAGTACAGACGGGATCACCAGAACCTTCACATGTCACCTAGATCTGGCGATGCCCATATTCTGCAATGGGCAAAGGACATAGGAGATATCGAGGATCATCGACTTCGAGCTGAGTTCTATACCATCCAACGCGAACTTGCCCAAATCATCATGAAAGAGGTCGTCGGAAAAACAGGGATGTTCTACGGAGGAAAAATGTTGCGGGAAGACGTCCGAACATGGATAGCCTCTCAGCGTCTCGACATGAAGCCTTTCACTAAGCTTGGGGACTATCTCCCTGACTTCGATGGATGGCACGGCATGTTGGAGTGATTGTCAATATATGACAATGTGTTTGTTTACTCCATACTTTCTGTATGACAAAACTTTGAGTTATGCGCAGTAAAACTTTATTTGTGATGTAATTAAACCGTCCTCCTCCTCGACTAGCGAAGATCACTCTAGTTAGGGCATTTTGGTTATGATGAACTTTGTTATTTATGCTTATGATATGTTGTTTCTATTTTTGTCAAGTCTGTCTCTTTCTGTTGCTCAACTATATATGTTGCATATCATCTACTCATGTGATGATGCAGGTGCATAGATCATCGATGGCGAAGAAGTGCTACGCCAGGAGTATATATACGATGAGTGGCCGGAGTGTCAGACCCAGGTGTTGCCGGTTTCCGGTTTCCGAGCGACAGGCAGTAGTTAGTTTAGGTTCACGCTAATGCGAGAGAGGGATACGAACTCATGTTCTCAAAGTGATAGCTCTTCTCGCGTATACCATTGTTTAGATGGATGACGATGTATTTGCAAGTAATCAAGGACTTGTATCGCTATTTTCGAGATGATGACGAGAGACCACTTTGTGTTGGATGATGATTATGATGAGACTATTTGTATGTATATGCTATGATTATATTCGTGGTCTCGCAGGCATTTGTATGTGTATCATGATGACATTTCTATGTGCTAAAGATTCTTGTATAAAGCCTATTCAAATACAAAACAAATATGCCCAAAAAACAAAAAACCTGTTAAATTAGCAGTAGCGAGTGTATAGAAGTTAGCAGCAGCGCCTCTATAGCAGTAGCGCGTTGCTGCAAAGGGCGCTAGAGCTACTAGCAGTAGCGTGCTCCCAGTAACCGCGCTGCTCCTACACTTGTGTAGCAGTAGCGCCGGTGACCACGCGCTACTGCTATATGTTAGTTGTAGCGCCTTATTAGTAGCGCCCCACCCCGCACTACTGATACACCAAAAACCCGCGTTGCTGCTAGCCTTTTCCCTAGTAGTGTATCCTTATTGTTAAAATACCACTCCATGAAGATGCAATACTCTCCTAATCTGCATGGCAGGTTGATGTATATCTTAATGTGTTCTAAGTGGCTTTTTGAAGGAGAGATGTTGTCCTGCAGAACATCTTTTGAAGAACACACCTATATGAGTCTGATTGTTAAACGTCGCAATCTATGAGAATAGGATTCTCTCTAGAAAACTAATGAAAGGTCACGGAGTATGACGCATAAGCTCCACCCGACGGTGTGAAAGAGAGACGGAAAAAATGAAACAAAGATGGGAGGTGAGACAAAAAAACCCGTGGAACGGAGACTAACAACTCCCCTTGTAGGAGTAAAGATAACTTCGTTATCGCCCTGCGCCCGAACATAATGGAAAGGCTGTAGTTCTTTCATGGACCCACACCATCCTCCTCAAGGTACTACATGGTCTAAGAGCATTTACACCCGGGCGTCCCAAACCCACTTCAAACACCCCGGCGGACGGCCAGGTCACAGAAAAATGACCTAGACGGGCCTCAACGCCCAAGCTGACCAACACCCCTCATATCCAGCCGAAATCTGGGAAGAATATGGGGCGCCCACGCGCGTCCGCCATGTCGGTCCCGGTCCACGCTGGCCCACCCGACCCCACATATATTCCTCCCCATCCGCTTGCCGGACCAAACCCTAGCCACTTCACTTCACTCCCTACCGCCCCCGTCCGACGATCTTATGGCCTTCTTCGGCATGGCAGGCGGCGGATCCCAGTGTTATACCTCCAGATCCGTCGACCCCGAACTCATCCCACGCGGCTCCTAGGAGGAGATGGCAATCCAGCTTGCGCTCCGCCGCTCTCGGGAGGAGGCTACCCGATGGCAACGGCAATGCTCGAACTCCTTCCGCGGGGAATCCAATGCGTCCGCCCAAATGATGCATGGATCCGGCGCTAGGTGTACCATCACTGCCTCACCAGAGGTGGTGCGGTCCATCTAGCATTCAAATGGGTGGCAGACGCGCAGCCCCTCCATTGGCGTGCTGAGGCCATGGACACACCATGGGCGCCGCCCGACGTAAAACATAGTTCGGCGCTCCTGCCATGCAAGGCAGCGGGTGCGGGAGGCGGCGACAGCCCTCGCGGTGGTGGTCGTTGCGAAGGCAAAGTCGTATTTTCCGGCTCCCCATATTGTGCACTAGTCCGGGCACCGCAACCACGTGGTGGTCGATGTTGCTGGCTCATCCCAGGAAGGATCCATCATCGATCTGACGTCCACCGGCACCGTCCTGGTTCCGACGGAGAAGAGTTGGGAATGGGGGACGGTGGCGCCTCGAGTCCCGTGACCCGCCTCATATCCCATGCCCTACTCTAACTTGCCGGTGACTGGACCAACACTCCGGAGAGCATTCGATCACCGGACATGCTCTGCTTAAAGATCGGTTTATGTTGCATGTAATAATATGGATTTGAGGTTTCTAATTTGAGGTATCTGGTTGTAGAATGAAATATTTTAGGCGTGACCGGTTACTACCGGGCGCGTCCGCGAGCGTTTCTGGGGTCAAATTTGTCAAGTTAGGCTGTAGGTGCTCTAATCAAGCTAATGCTTCTTTCAGTTTCAGCTATCTGGTTGGATGGGCTCGGGGATATGTGGCTGATTTGTTTGAACTTGTATTAGTTCTAGGATACATATTTGTCAAAAAAATCATAGCTTTATCATTGTGACAGTTCATATATGGTAGAATTAATAGATGAGTTTTAGTAGTTTGTGGGTTATTTGTTCAATATTTGATCAAACACTCTACTCAAATTTACATCCTACTATTTATTTCCCACACTTGTCTTTCGAAGTGTCCAATGGTTATGTTGATTTTCAGCTTTAATTTTCTAAGACACGAGTACAATAGTAAATTTGTTTAGGTCAAAACTATTATATCCTTCTAATGAACTTCTACACAATATGATTTCTCATCTGCTTGGAATCCATAGAAGCACATGTACTATTTGCTTTGTGTTCCTAGATTGAGATAAGTTAATATCACACTACATTGTTAAAGAAATAACAACCGAGTTATTCTACAGGTAAAAGAAATTTCTACAATCAGAACCGATGCTACTTAAGCTTTGTTTGTTATCTCTAAATCCCCCCTCTCTGCACGAAACCATATGAAGAGTTTAATGGCATGTTTGGCGCTTGCTATCGTAACTCAATATTTTCTCTTGCTCGCCGCATGATTTATATTTTACCATGTGGCAACTTTACTTTATTTTCACCTCTTTGGAGTCCCATAAAGAATTGCTTTGAGGAATGTTTCGGTGCCACCAATCTCAAAATTGCACCAACGCAAAAATATCTTGGTGAACATTTAAAGTGATGGATGGTTCCTAATCAGGCGCTTGTTTTGCTGCTAAAATGGCCCTTTTACTTCTAGACATTAAAATACGTTGAGTTATTACTGTGTGCAATGTTCAGCAAAATGGTAACTGATAGCTGGTCGGTCAGTTTGGGAGCAGCAATTAATAGATCAATCGGCCTATAAACTGGATTAATAGGTCGACCATTAATCGGTAGATTACATAGGAACCTGCCGGCACAAGCAACTAGCTGTTGATGTGTAAGCCTAGAACTGCGGTTAGGGATGAACATCTAAATACACGGTGAATGGAACAATGACAAGCAATGCTGGCAAACAAGAACTCTGTTTGTCTTTTATTCCCAAGCTTGAACTAGCACTGATCGGGGTCACACATGATGGTGCACGCCACTTTATTTGTCATCGTTACATCGATTGGTGCATCTGCTAAGTAACGATGATCCATCTATCTATTAGTATAGATCTTGCTTTTTTCATTGGCCACCAATCCCCGCGACTATGCTGGCAAATGGTGCCCTGATGATGGAGCACTCAGGTGGGACATACACGTTGCACATGGTTGGAAGAGTTTGCAACACCAATGACCTGATCGCCTCCAATTGAGCTAGTTGTTGAGGTTGGATGATGCCCTGGCCTTGGACGAGAGTACCTTGACCCAACTGTTGTTGTTGAGATAGTGTCAGCAGGATATGCATGCCTTGTTGTTGTTGTTGTTGTTGTTGTTGTTGTTGTTGCTGCTGCATGATGATGGAATGCACGACGCTATGGATGGCTGCGCACTGGAGCTGCTGAGGAATCTGTGCTAGTTCTTGGCAGCATTGTTGCTGCATCACTTGGCAATCGCTTTGTGGCCAGATTATCGACCAGAGGGATGACACCAATGACGCAGGTTTGCATTGTTGCAAGAGGATATTCTTGCATGGGTTCAAACGTTGTTGTAGAGATGGCTGAATGAATGGTCGTTGTTGCTGGAGGAATGATTGTTGCGGTTGTTGGGGCTGCGGGAATTGTTGTTGGGGCTGGGGAAAAGGTTGGTGTGGTTGCTGGAACTGGGGAAATGGTTGTTGTGGTTGTTGAGTCTGGGGGAATGGTTGTTGTGGTTGCTGGGGAAATGGTTGTTGTGGTTGTTGAGTCTGGGGGAATGGTTGTTGTGGTTGCTGGGGAAATGGTTGTTGTGGTTGTTGAGTCTGAGGGAATGGTTGTTGTGGTTGTTGGGGGAATGCTTGTTGGGGCTGGAGAAATGGTTGTTGTGGTTGCTGAGGCTGGGGAACTTGTTGTTGTGGTTGATGGGGAAATGTTTGTTGGGGTTGGGGAAATGCTTGTTGCGGTTGCTGGGATAATGGCTGTTGGGGTTGGGGGACTAGTTGTTGTTGTGGCCATTGTACTTGGCCACTAGGGTCGACCTGCATATTGGCGGTGCTGATGGTTATTGCCATCGCAAGGATCGTCAGGATGAGTAAGGTCTTCATGGTCGATTTGCGTTAACTACTACGTACTTGGATTTGCTGATTTGTGCTCTAGGTGTGTGAAAGATGGATGATGGTATGGAGTCTACATATTGCAGGCCTTTTTATAGCTATCTTGGTTAGGTTTCTTTTCATTATTGCTTTCTTTTTTCAAAAGTGATTTGATGCTTATCAAACTAATATTTGGTATGTTGTGTTTGGTGGCACTACATACAAACGTAATTTCAGAGTGATCATCAAAGTTGTCTTTTTATTGTACATATCATCTAAGAGTGAGGAAAACTTGATAATTGGCATTGACTCATCTTATTCACTTTACATGTCAAACAATTATCTGGATTGCATTCCTTTTGGATCTAAGTTTGTCATGTTGTACAAATAGTTATACATAAAACAAATCTTCATAGCTTGCGTGGGACTAAATTTTTGTCCTGGTGCATGTTGTTAAGATAGATCAAGCAAGTATTCTGATCTTCGTTCTGGACTCTTGTTCTTTTTAAAACTAACTTGTAGTGTTGTATAATATGATGGTAAGTTGAACATACTGATAGTAATGTTGTACACGTTATCAACACATGACTCATCAAATTCTCCTTTTATGTCAAGGGTAGTGATGTTGTGCACATTATCAATACATGACTCATCAATTTCTCCTTTTATGCCAAGGGTAGGAATGTTGTGCAAGTTACCTATACATGACTCATCATATTCCCTTTCTATGTCAAAGGGTTGTAATTCTATGCAAATTTATTAATAAATATTGGATTAGTATTGGCTTTACACGTATTAATTGATTTACTCTAAGTACATTTAGGTTTGTTCTCACTTCAATTGATTAATTTATTGAACTAAGTTTGTATGTATTATTTGTAACATTTGATGCATTTTGTCAAAGTTGTTCATGACAACTGTTGTTACTAAGATTTCTAAGAATGATTTCGACCTTTTACAAAATAAATAGTGGCATATTTGTATCCTTAGATCACTAAAGCATGTATTTATTACACCATCTACTAACATACCTTTAATCTACACGGACTTGTCAAGAAGTCCTTTATTACTCTACTGGGAAAGGGCTTATAGGTGAATTCGAAAGATTGGCGGGCGGGACATAGCACCTGCCACTGCTAGTTAGCAAAAGTACCAGTGGCAGGTGCCACAACATGACCTCCAGAGTTACATGCGTAGCAGTGGCGGGTGGAGAACACCACCCACCACAAGTAAGCACCACTGAGTATGGCCACCTGATGAATGCGATCAGTGGCGGGTGTTAGCCTCGGCCGCCATTGTTCTTGAATGCAAAAGTGGCGGACGCTCGATAGGGCCGGCCACAGTTTACTGCCAGCAATGCACGCCAGAAAAATAAATTTTATACAGATATTAGCTCTGGCGGGTATGGGCCCCTACCCGCCACAACTAAGTTAGCTGTCTATTCTGCCCCAAATCGAATCGGTTTTCCGCCCACCACCCCAAAGAAGCCGTGTTGGGAGGCTTGGCACACCGGTCGCATACGACAAACTCAATCGACCTACGTACACGCACGTGCCCCCTCTCCTCCTACCCCAATTTACTCTCTCACTCCCACTCTTCCCCATCTCGTCGCGGACGCCGTTGGCTCATCCATGCTACCCAAGTCGTCGTCCCTGTCCGCTGCCGCCATCAGCACCGCTTACTCGTCACCGCCCTAGCCGTTCACCGCGCGTCTCCCTCGCCCTCGATTCGCCGCCCCGTCGCCCTCACCGACGATCCGCCCCGTCACCCTCCGCTCCATCCAGTAATACATTGTCGTCCGCGCCTCCCTCTCCGGCTTTCCTCCTTGTCACCCACGGCCACGGCCGCCACGCACACGCACACGTACGTTCGACTAGGGTTAGGGTTATTGCTATTAATGTGTTCATATTCGTTAATGAGTTCGATTTGTTCATACTAGAGTTCATTTATAGTTGTAGTTTCTTGTTCTATAGTTTTTAAGGCACACACATCAAAACAATTATAGTTGCAGCAGCCACATACGTAACCATGAACAAGGAATACCAATTTGTTCATATTAGAGGTAATTATATAGTCTCACATATATATTGTATTATTCCGTACATTATTTCTGTTCATACTGAGTTAAATAATATGTTGTAGTAGATGTCTTCAATTCATTATAGGTATACTTACTATAAGTGCTAAAGTTTTGGCGATACGTTGATTTATTTCTGTTTCGCCATTTTTATGCAGAGGTCATGCCAAATTTCTTTGTTTATGTTTTATTCATATTGTGATGTAGTAGATGTCTTCATTTCCTTATTGGGATTCATACTATAAGCGTTAATTTTTTGGCAAACCGTTGATTTATTTCCGTTTCGCTAAATTTCTATAACTGTCCATTTTTATGTAGAGGTCCTGCCCAATTTTTTGTTTGTTTTTAATTCATATTGTGATGTAGTAGATTTCTTCAGTTCTTTCACCAAATTTAGTTATCTGCATGTTCTAGGTCATTTTTCCCGAAATGACGGACAATGGCATGCACTGTGGTGTTTTCCATAGACCTAAAGAACACAAACTGCTGGAATTTTTGTCTATTTGGGCCTAGCCCAATAGCAGTTTCAGAAATTCCTAATAAATCCTAGAGGCCCACGCAGCCCATTCATGCAAGGTAAGAGGTGAAACTAAAGTTTAGTCCCACCTTGCTAGTTTAGAGGGAGTTGGACCTCTTTATAAGGGAGGCTCCTTCCCCACTTGTATGAGCATGAGAACAAGAGGGACATCCACGCGCGCTCCTCCTCCGCCGCCCGCCTCGTCACGCCGCGGGTTGCGGGAATGAGCCGATGTCTAAAGTTTTGCCACGCACTACGTGTATACGAAAGGTCACTCGGAAGCTGAAACATTTTTTTTCTGTGCCTGGACACTGAATCCGAACGACGCACCCCTTCAGCTGCTGCTTGTTCGTTTCGTCTCCCACATTCCCTTCAGCTCCCGGCGCAGCCTCTCGCCTCCTTCTCTTGCGCCTATAAAAGGGAGGTCGCTCCTCTCAGAGATACGCACCAGAACTGCTCCTTCCCTCACCATCGGTTCCATCTCTGAGCTGCTGCTGTCTTCCTCATCCCGACTTGCGGCGTGCACCGCATGTCGGGACAGTAGGCCTCAGAGACCGCACCTTTTGAGTCCTGTACGGGAGAAGGGTGATAAGGTTTTTGGGGAGCGCTCAGCGCGACTACTGGCTGCTTCATCACAGACGATCCGGTCGCCGACGACTACTTCCCCAACGACGACTTCTTCCCCGACGTCCACGACCTCCTCGACGACATGGCAGGCGAGGACACTGACCCCAAGTCCAGCTCTTCTGCTGCTGCTATGCCGTACGTGTTCTTCTCCTTTCTGTTAGAAGTCCTGCTACAGTTCTTGGCTCTAGTTTCTGCCCTACGTATGTTAGGTTCTGTTTCGTATAAGCAACTTCATCTAGTTTCTGTTCTAGATGTGTTTAGCTCAAGTTCATTTATGCAGACGATGTTTACCTTCTCTCTGTCAGACTGCATGACTTTCTTTATATTTACTATTTTAGTCATGCTTTATCTAGTATTTTTGTTAATAAAATCATTCGGTAAATTGCTCATATTTCCAACACAAACCACAAGCGGAGACTTGGAGTAGACCAGACAAGATCATCATGATGTCGCTGCCAAATGAGGCGGTGCTATGTGAGGTCTCTAGGCAGGCTCTAAACTCCTCAATTTATTGTTTTAATGTACCACAGTGAGCAAGGAACCGTGTTAAAGCTGTACCAGTTTCTGAAAATCATAGTTAAATCAAGATTATTTCAAAAAAACACAACTGGTAATTTCTCCTACTTAAATTCAGGCAAGTAGAAGCACAACTGGGAAAAAGTACTACTTGCAAGCCCTCAGTTCGTCGCTAACTGCTTGCAAGTAGTATTCTTTAACGTCTAGCATAAAACAGTAGAATCACAGTACCATTGCTTTCTTTCCGACAGTTGATATTCACTTAAACGACATGTTTTATAATCTAGCAACAACATAACCATCCCCAATCAGCCGCTGATCTCTCTCACACACACACATACACAGCAAAGCTAACACAACAACAATAGGTAACACCATGCGGCCTCATCCCATCATCTCATCTCCGTAAGAAGGTGATGCTGCTGCATCACCATGGAGCCCGTAGAAAGGCTTGACCGCACAACACACAAACACCACCAAATTGTGCGGCCATTCGTGACCTTCGCTTTCCTGCTTCCCATGGCCTCAAGGTTAATTTCTTTTGTCTAGGTCAAGATTTTCAAGAGAAGATAACCTCACCTCCGAGCCACCATGTCCATCATACACGACGAGCATCTCCCTTCCGGTGACTTGGCCTATTACTATTGTTGTAACAACAATGTCATCCCAGTACTTGATGTTCTTCTTGTTATTATCTCGATGGAAACATTTGAGGTTTTCGACCAAATGGTTGTCTGCGTTTGAGGATAGATTAGCTGAGACAAACAAGTAAATCAGTTCAAATGAATAGGATCATAAATTGAGCACTGAGGCAAGTAATCTCATTACCAATCTTGCATCTTCTTCCGATGTCCAAGCCATACGGTGTGCGATCCTACCGGGTTTTGAATCCCCTTCAAGACTGATGACAACATTGGTGGTACTTGGTCAGCTACTGCGGGCAGTTTAAGGGAATTGTGCAAATGGTGTTAGACACATATTGTTTAGTCCTGCTGATCTATCCTCCGCACAACACATAGTGGAAATAAATTCTATTAGCTAATGTAAATAGATAGTCTGACACATTTGCAAAATTACTGTATCATGCAACCTGAATAAACCGAAGTAGTGGACGAGCATACAAACTGAACAATCCTACTGTTATTCATCTGACTGCTCTGCGTTAACGGGAAAAGTTAGGAAAATTGCCTTTCCCTTTTGCGGTTTAAGTGCAAGGAACTTGAAATAGGATCCTACTGCGTTTTTAGTGGAACGCCTTTTAAGGCGGATTTCTTT